GAAAAGTAAAAAGTTGAGGTTCAATGTTAATGCTTCCTTCTACTGCATGGATGTCAAACTCAATTTCATTGAGGGCCGCATCAGCATTGCAGTTGCCCTCGGGGGTGTGTGTGGCCAGGGTGGGTGCGGCCTACTGGGTGGGTGTGGATGGAGTGGGTGTGGCCTACTGGGTGGGCATGGCCAGCTCTACATCGTTCGCGTCAAGGGTGCCTGTGGGAGCCTGGGCAGGAATGGGACAGATCTGAGGGTCTCTGGCAAAAGGGGTTGGGACCAGAGCAAGCGCCAAGGCATGGTGCATTTCTTCATTCCTCACGAAGGGTGACACCTCCCCAGCATGCACCCACAGGGTGGGGCTGACGCGGCAGGGGCTGGTTCCTCGCTGTTTCCAGACGGCCTTGTGGAGCTAAGACTGAATGCGTTTCAGCATAGATGGCCACCACAAAATTGTACATTGGCTCCCAGCCAGCCAGGGCCAAGGCAGTGGGAGCCGTTCCCTCACTGTTTCCAGGATGGCTTCGTGGGTCACATGAAACTACTTCGCGGGCCGCATCTGGCCCCCGGGCCTTGTGTTTGACATGTCTGTTCTACTGCAACAGAGGAAGTCTGTTCTTTTTCCCTTCTTCCCATCACCTCCCCCCCTTTTCCTCCTCACTCTGTCCTACTATTTGCTTTTGTATTTTTGTATTTTATTCTATAATCTAATAAAATATTACAAAGTGTAGGAAAAAAGGGAAAAAATACCAGTTTTAATTTCTTTGGTGGCTGTTCCTTTGCTGAATCACTTTTCCTTTGCGCTGACAAATGTATGATGAATTTATCCATATTTATTAATATGCACCACTACCAGCTAGCTCAGGGGTCTTCAACTTGGCCCTTTTAAGACTTGTGGACTTCAACTCCCAGAATTCCTCAGCTATCATGTCTGGCTGAGGAATTCTGGGAGTTGAAGTCCACAAATCATAATAGGGCCAAGTTTGAAGACCCCTGCTGTAGATACAACAGTAAATTGTCATTAATCAGCATTAATCAGAGACTGCTGAGGACTGTGGGAGCCATCTACTTTACACAGCCTGTCTCTCTCTTCTTTCTCTGCCTTTTCGTTCCAGTCTCTTACAATGAGAAAAAACTTTTTATATCCAGCAGAGAGAGGATCTCACTTAATTTGGTTCTGTATCCATGTGCACAACAGTGAGCTAATTCTCTTTCATTGGGATGTGAATTTTGAGTCTGCCCCTGCAATCTAACAGGCAGGTTGCACAGCACCATCCTTTATTCATATGAACCAGCTTCGTAAACCACAGTTTGTAACAGGTTTGCTAAATGCTGTTTTAAGATTAACTACAATTGTATGGCTTGCATATACTGTTAATTTCAGTCAGTTGAAAATGGAAATAAACATTTCTCCTTTCCTGTTCATCAGATGCACTGGAAGAAATAGTGAAGCCCACGAACCCATGATAGTTTTAGATTATCCTAGATTGCAGCTCAAATCTACACACCTAGTGATTCATATACTGCCCATCTCATATTCATATTGCGTATTGTAACTCTTACAGTTCCTATTGTTGCATAATACAGCAATAGTAAATTGTCATTGAAAATTGGAGGGCAAGTTAACAAAAGAAATAATTCTCTTTTGTCTGCTTCATTTTTTTTATTGTGGCAGACTTGTAGCGGAGAACAAAAATGGATCTGTTAAACTAACAGAATCCTGAACAGAAGTCAAAGTGTGGAAGGTTTGATTACACAAGAACTAGAGCTTCCTGCATCGTGATCACTTCACTCTTGTAGTGGCACATTCCAGTATATATGCCAGTGTTAAAGTGACCTAATTCATATAAATGTTTAATTATGTTTAGAGACAATTTTTGAATGATTAATATTTAGAGGCATTTAAATTATAGGAAAACATCCTTTAACTTCCAGTGGTAGGAGAATATAGCCCAATTTTTGGGCTGAAAGATTGTTTTCACCCCTTCACTCTTCTGTCATATATTGATGGGGGGGGGGTGTTTGGAGCAGGATGGAGGGGGTGAGCTGTAAAAAGAAATTACCTTCATTTCTGTCATCACCCACTGTTCTATTATCCAGTGATAGACAGATGCAGGAAAGTTGCCAGTCAAACCCACGTTTACTGCATTTCAATTGCCCTTCAGCATGTCGAAATCTAAAAACCTTTGGAGAGAGGTTGTGATGTCTTTCCTGCAGCGGTAGCAAGCACCAGGCTATTGAATAGCTGCTTTCATCACCTTTCAGTCTTCCAGGCAATAGAAGCTACAGAGGTCTCTCAAACTATTTGTCAAACGATTGCTAGGACTGGTTCCTGAAAGAGCTGGATTTGCATGTCTAGCCCTTTACTGATGTAGCCATTGCTTAGTAAGCTGCTACATACATCAATTTACTTTCTTGTTNGGCACAAGGTGCTATGCTGGCTTTTAATTTCTCAATTTATTTAAAGTGAGATAAAACGTTAACTTCGAATCCATCTGCCACTAAGTGTGCTTTACCGTAACATACTTATTTGATGATACATAATAAATCTTGACTTAGATGAGTAATGTACCATGGTGTGACATTTTGTTAAATGCAACTGGATGGAGCTTAATAACTATAATTACAGCTAATCTTTGATTTACAGTCATTCATTTAGTGACCGTTTGAAGTTACAACATCACTGAAAAAAGTGACATTACCTTTTTTCACACTTACGTCCGTTGTAGCCTCCCCAGGGCCATGTGAAAAAAATGTCCATTATTCCTACTCTTCCCTTTACCAGTTATCAGTTTATAAAATGACAGATCTTATTCCATGACTGCTTAAGTTTACACAAGAACTTTTGATGAAGAATTTTGTCAAATGTTTGCCAAAAATCCAAATATATACTGTACTATCAACAGGGTCAGCTCCATACACATGCCTGTTTGCGCTAAAAAGAATCTAGCAGCTTGGTGAGACAGGATCACTTCTTCATCTTGATACTGATTTTTATTCGACTTTTGCTCTGTGTGCTTAGGTATTTTTTTAAATAGAGATTAAAGCACTAGGACTATCATTTCTCAGTTTAACTTTGGATCCCTTTTTAAAATTCATGCTACAATGGCCACTTTCCAATCCTCTAGCAAGTAGTCTGATTTGAGGGACAAGCTGCATATTTTTGCTAAGAGAGCAGTAATTTCACATTTGAGTTCTTCAATAACTCTTGGACAGATGCCACGAGGACCTAGTGATTCAGACAAACATATGACTGAATGAGATAGCTTTCATGTCCTTAACTTCAGAGTCATTACAACATATCGATTAGTTGTTTTTTTCCATTACAATATTCATTCTTCTAATGCAAGAAGTACTAAATCGTTAGAAAACATTAGGAATCATTGTAGCGAAATTACCTTCAAATTTTATGGTATAATGGATTTGAAATAACGTAGATTATCTTCACCCAAAGGAACAAACATTAGGGAGCTATGGTCCTAGGACAGGGGTCTTCAAACTTGGCCCTTTTATGACTTGTGGACTTCAACTCCCAGAATTCCTCAGCCAGCGTGCCAAGTTTGAAGACCCCTGTCCTAAGATTTTGGCACATTGGCTCTGCTTAGAAGTGCTTGTTGTGCCCTGAAAAAAATATGAGAGAAGGACCATACTGAGCAGTTCCATCCTGATATTGATCCTCCTTGTGGGTTTCATATCTGCAGTAAACATTTCTACAGTGTAGCAGTCTTCTTTCTTTGCAAAAAGTGTAGCTGTGGATGGCGGACATGTGATTTGTTGCTTTGAGTTGAGGCTGGTTCTAGATTGATCAATTCTTTTTCCACATCTAAATTCCTTCTCTTGCACCTGTAGGGTTATTTTGAATAGGGTTAATGTGTGCTATTTATTACACGTTTTTTATTATTATCTTTAAATCCAGGTGCCGTAATTCCTTGAATAATAATAATAATAACAACAACAACAACAACAACAACAACAACAACAATAATAATAATAATAATAATAATAATAATAATAATAATAATAATAGTAAAGTTGGAAGGGACCTTGAAGGTCATCTAGTCCAACCCCCTGCTCAGGCAGGAAACCCTATACCATTTCGGACAAATGGCTGTCCAGTCTCTTCTTAAAAACTTCCAGTGTTGGAGCNCAAGTGTGGCCTTACCAAGGCATTGTAAAGTGGTATTAACACTTCACGTGATCTTGATTCTATCCCTCTGTTAATGCAGCCTAGCACTGTGTTGGCCTTTTTGGCAGCTGCAGCACACTGCTGGCTCATATTTAGGTGATTGTCCACTAGGACTCCGAGGTCCCTCTCACAGTTACTACTATTGAGCAAGGTGCCAACTGTGCAATTGGTTTTTCTTGCCTAAATGTAGAACCTTGCTTTTTTCACCATTGAATTTCATTTTGTTAGATAGTGCCCAGTGTTCAAGTCTATCCAGATCCTTCTGTATCTTAAGCCTGTCTTCTGGAGTGTTGGCTATTCCTGCCAGCTTAGTGTCGTCTGCAAATTTGATGAGTTCCCCATCTATCCCCTCATCCAAATCGTTGATGAAGAAGTTGAAGAGCACTGGGCCCAGAACAGAGCCTTGGGGCACCCCACTACACACTTCCCTCCATGTAGAATCATCAGAATATCACTGATGATTCATTGTTTAACATCTATGTCGTTGCTTGTTACTATTCTTACTCTAATATTCTAAATTGACATATTTACTTAAATATTTCCTTTACAAGAATAAAATGGTGTATATATTTTAAAATTAAAAACGTGAGCATATTAAAATCATTTTGGCTGGAAAAACCTCTGTTGATCCAACAGTTTGATACCATTTAATATACTTTTTTTCTTTCTTTATAATTTCATGAGGGTTTTTTTTTTTGTAAGAACCAATAAAATTAGTCGTTGGACCTTGACTTCTGAATTGTGAAATTGTTAGTGTGTTTTGGATGTCATTCCTTTGAATTTGAAAGTTTCATTCACTGTTCCGTTCTCTTTTTGTCCCTAGGGGCTGTAATTGGAGATGGACAGTCTGCTGTGGCCAGCAATATTGCGAACACCACATATCGGCTTCAGTGGTGGGATTTCACTAAATTTGATTTACCAGAAATAAGCAATGGTAAGTTGGAGACAGAACTACTAACCTCTGTAGTTAAAAAGAACTAGGGATATTCACAAAAGGAGAAGTTTGTTATTCCTCAAAAGATAACAGATATGTTGAAGCTGAATTTATTTATTTATATATAAATATATATTATATTTATATATATATAAATAAAAAATAAATAAATTCAGCTTCCAATATTCCAATCTTTTATCTGTAATTTAATCCTTTACATTCTTAAAAATAATTGAGGACCCCAAAGAATTTTGTTTTATGTATGGGTTATATCTTTTAATATTTACTGCACTAGAAACCACAATGGAGAAATGTTATAATATTTATTTGAGTTTGCAGATTTCCTGAAAATGACCAATTTAATTATTTGTTCTGAAGGAGATCTTTGCAAAGACTAAAACAGTGTGTGTGTGTGTGTGTGTGTGTGTGTGTGTGTGTGTGTGTGTGTGTGTGAGAGAGAGAGAGAGAGAGAGAGAGAGAGAGAGATCTCAGATCTACATATGAAGGTTCAATTAAACTGATTCATTGCTAAAAGCCTACACACAGGAATCTTCTCAACTAATGGTTGGCACCTGAGATTTAAATTAGGGTCAGTGGCACACAAGGGGGAGTTGAACTTACTTTTAGTGTGGCTATGTAGGGACTCTTTAAGTTGATCCCCCTTTTTGCTCCACCTCCAGGTTCTACCATCCCTTCTCCCACAATTATTTGTATTAAAATATCCACAGATCTTGTAAATTAGGAATTGTTTGTCATATGTACCACAAATCTTATAAACTGAATTAGGAATTGCTTGTCATATCTATCCTTGACAACAGCCTATTTACCCAAAATATTTGGGCAATACATTAATCTCTGTATTTCACCTAACTATGTTACAGAACTAGGAAGAAGAATATAGAGGTTAATGCAAATTAAAAGATCTAAGGTCAAATTACGGTTTTCAGTTTTTTGGACTGAGTTGCACACTAGAAATTATATTTTGAATGCACTAATGTTCAAATCAAGTGATAGTGAAGATAACAATATCATCCTTACCCAATTTCTCATTATCACTTGCAGATATAACTAGTAAATGAACTCTTTGGAAATATAGTTCCTTTTCTTTATCCCAGCTTTCTTTCAGGGAGATAATACAAAATACCTTATATTAGTTAAGTAAGCAATTAAATAAAGTACTCCTGGTTATAAAACTTACTGCAGGTAGTCCTCGACTTACAACCATTTGTTTAGTGACCATTAGAAGTTACAACGGCACGGAAAAAGTGACTTATGACCATTTGTCACACTTAAGACCATTACAGCATCACCACAGTCATGTGATCAAAATTCCGACGCTTGGCAGCTGGCATGTATTTATGATGATTGGAGTGTCCTGGGGTCATGTGATCACCTTTGCAACTGTCTGATAAAGTCAATGGAGTAGTCAGATTCACTTAACTATGTTAACTAAATTAACTGCAGTAATTCACTGTGGTAAGAAAGGTTGTAAAATGGGACAAAACTCACTTAACAAGGGTGTGGCTTAGCAATGTCTGCGCGACGTAACACTCGTGGCAATGATGGACGAGGGGGGGTGAGTGCGTGCACATGTGCGTGCACTGCCGAGCTACTCACATGGGCCAGTGGCCACCGGGCCGGGGCCCACAGGTTGGGGATCCCTGCTGTATCAGATGTTGCTGACTTACATAGGAAAAAAGAAAATATTTTCTGCTGTGCCTGGAAAACAAGTGAAATGTGTGATCCAAGGCATTTTATCTAGCTCAAGATGAAACCTATAGTAATGAAGCCACTATAAGACTACTAAAATAAAAAGTATAAATAGAAATAAAATAATGTTTAAGAATCTTCCTTAAAAAAGATATGGATAAACTAGCCTTAAATATTGAATCAAACTGTCTTCAATATATTCTATACGCTCCTGAAAGTTGTCAATATTATTTCCAGACAGGACAGTGCTCACTCACTCATTCATTCATTATTTTATATAGCCACTCATCTCACATACATGATTCTGAAAAACAACAGAAAGAACAATAAAATACAAATAAAAGTTTATAAGAGAAGTTTTGACTAATGGACAAATATGAAAACTGGTAATATTATCTGACCATTTTAGAATACAAGCAAAAAATTCTGGGCTAATAGCTAAAGAAATATATATAATGACTGAGAATTGACTTAAAAATGTGGCTTGTTTGCAAGTATTCAGTGATGTCCTATTTCAGATGCTATAAGTTATTTACCTAAATCATATATAGTATGTGTATAATTTGATTTATTAAATCAGGTTTGGGAGTTTAACATGCTGCTTCCCAAATATATATATACATTATTGGATAATCATAATCGTTTAAACATAATTACAAAATTCTATTAAAAAGATAACCATTTGTTATTTATGGATAATCTTATTTTTTTTTATTACTAGGGGACACTTTTTAAAAAGAAACCATAATTAATACCGGAGTCAAATAGTAAACTAGGAGATTAGTAATACAAAACCTTCATCTTTCCCGATTCACATATCCTCAAAGATTACAGATGCTGAAAATTTCTGAAAGCTTAATTTATTCATAGGGGAAATGCCATAGTGTTTCTGCTTTCTTTTTCTATACATGGTTAGTTTTAGTTTTAGGAGTCGAGTACAGTATAGCAATAGCACTTAGATTTATATACCATTTTACTGTGCTTTACAGCCCTCTCTAAGTGGTTTACAGAGTCAGTCTGGATCTTTATTTTATCAACCTTGGAAGGATGGGAGGCTGAGTTAACCTTGAGCCAGTCAGGATCGAAGGATTTGAACTCCTGGCAATGTGAGCAGAGTTAGCCTGTAATACTGCATTCTAACCACTGCACCACCTCCTCCTCCCTCATTTAGGAGTTAATTAACCAGGCTTTCTTTTAAACAACAACAACAACAAAAACCCTGCTTTCTAAGCTCCTGAAATGCTTAGAATTCCTTAAATATCTGGTTTTCCAGAATGGTTTCACAATATCTAGCATGGCAGTAGAGTGAAAAATAAAAGACAGTAAGATTGGCTTTTGTAGTGGGCTTCATAAAAGTGGTACCAACTGATATTAGTTCCAATGGTTAAATTAAATATTTATGATATTGAATATTTCTGAATACAATTTTAATAGACTTGTTTTTTACATATTTACTTGGTCATTTTGGAAAGTAGAAAAATGAACTAATTGAATCCTCTGTTTGATCCAATGATACGTTGTATAATCATCCAACAGTCAATTTAGGCTAGGGAATAGAGAAAAGGTAGGGGAAGCAAGCAAGCATTGGACTTGAAAGCCAGAACTCCTGCTCCCCAGATTTCTGTGCTTTTAAGACCTTTTTGACTGGTCCCATTAAGGTGGATGAGTCCAAAGATCTATCCAGTCTAGCCTGTTTCCATATCAGCTAGTTAGATTCTGAAGAGAAAACCATGGGCATTTCTTTCTCTTTAAATCAAAATAAATGTAAACAGATCTTCCAAGCTGATCAGCAATTTTCTGACAGTTAGAACAATTAATCAGTGGAACAACTTGCCTCCAGAAGTTGTGAATGCTCCATCACTGGAAGTTTTTAAGAAGAGATTGGACAACCATTTGTTTGAAACCATAGGGCTTCCTGCCTAAGCAGGGGGTTGAACTAGAAGACCTCCAAGATCCCTTTCAACTCTGTTATTCTGTTGATCTTGTTCAGTCTGTTGTCCTAAGAAGCAAATTCTGGAATAATATGCATAATATCTAAAGTAGCAAACACATGTAACAGAACTGCTTGAAAATGAATTGAGCAAGAAAATCTATGCAGATGGTCAGCAATATTTAAACCATAGCACAACGCTCTGGAAAGACCATTGATATAGTAAAGTGATAACTGTTCAAGACAAGTGTAATTATGCTAAAGTTTTGGTGGGGTAGCACATGATCCCCTCCAAAAAGAGTTTCTTACTGGCTTAATTCAGAACAGTCACTTGGATACTTTCTGCTTACTTGTATGAGACAAAATAAATACAAGAGATGTTGGTTCTAGAAAGGTTTTCAGGTTGTTCAAAAAATTGTGCATGGTGGGAAGATCATTACTAGTTGTAGAATCTGGATTTGATTGTAATTGCATTTAAACTGCATTTAAGTAAATATGCATAAATTTAACATGGCTTTGATCCAAAGTCTTATAATATTTGCTGTCTGCATTGCCTGCTTCTCCAGACTATAGATTTGATGAGGATCATATTACATATGGCTATAAATAAATTATATTGGATGTTTGAGGTAAAAATGTGTCAATAGTAGTACACAACCATCATTTGACAGGTAGTCAAACCTCTTGTCACCATATTAACATAGGTTAAAATTTAATAATAATAGTGATTTTGTAAATGCTCCTTTTGCATGCTGCTCAACAGGGAATGAGGTGCATAACTATAAACCACCAATTAAAAAAGTGAGTTGTTAAGAATAATCAGTATTGCTATTGTTCATTTCTGTGTTAGCTAAGGAATGCAAGGTACTAAGTGTGTTTTTCATTGACAGTTCTAGACCTTCAGTATTGTGCATAAGTGTTTGATAAAAGAGAATTAGAACTGAATAGTGGTGCTGTTGTAGCACTTTTCCTATTGTTGAAAATTCTTCATTCTCAGAAATGCTCATGTTAGCAGATATTATACAAGTAGTCACCATTTAACATCTACTTGTTCAGTGACATTTGAAGTTATGATGGTGCTAAGCGACGGATACTTACAATGGGTCCACATAGTTATGGCCATTGCATTCTCCTTGCAGTCATGTGATCATGATTTGGCTCTAGGTGACCAGCCCACAATTACAAGGTTGCAACATCCTGGGATCACTTGCAACCTTTATTGTCAGTTTCCAACAAGCAAAGATAATGGACAGAAGATCATAAAACACATGAGTCTGGGATCCTGGGACTGTGTGTGATTTGCCCTATGATGGCAACTGGGATTGCCTGAACTGCTGTTGGAAGTTGGTGTGGTTACATTGGATCATGCTTATGACCACTTAGCGCAGGAGTTTCTGGTCCCAATTACTATTGGTAAGGGAGAACTGCTGGTAATAATTCATAGTCTTAATTTACCTAGCTAGAACAAGTATTTGAAGATCCCTGGTCATTCACTTGAAAATGAAGTCTATAATATAGTGCTGTGTAAGTAACAGCAAAGATAGTGAATGTTAAGAAAAATTAAATAGGCAGGACAGAGTACTTGAAGATAGATTGTGAGTACAATGAGAAACCAGTTTCATTGAGACAAAGTCATATACTGATATAGGATTGATAGGTGTGGTGAGGACATAGTAGGGAAACTGAGCTGATATAGGTAGTTACAAACTGAGCTGATATAGGTAGTTACAAACACAATGGAGTCAAGAATTTTGGTCATAACGCTGTGGTTGAAATTTGAGATACCACATGACTGGAGCTCCCACCCTCTGGAATGAACTACCCCCAGAGATCAGGGTGATCCCTGATCTCCCTTCCTTCCGCCGCGCCCTTAAGACATGGTTATTCCAGCTTGCAGGACTGGCCTAGGGAAATTTTTAGAGGGGGTTTTAATTATATTTTAATTAGATCATAGTTAAATATTTCCTTTTAATTAATTTTAATCCTGTAATTG